AGGAATTCCAGGCAGCAGCCTCATTCTTCATATCGACTCGTCGACAATGCGGTGCCCGCTGCGCACAACGCGTGCCCCTACCCGGCATCGCCGCCGACTTCTCCGTATTGGCTTCGGCCAGCAAATTCATTCCGAGAATCGTTTTCGTCGATCTGCCTTTGGAGCGTCCCGTTGAAGTGCGAGAGAGACAGAGCGAGGAGAGGCACGCCGCAGAAAGCCGGTAACAGCGCTGGGGTGGCCACGAGTTAGGCCGTCCGGGGCTGGATATACGAGAATGCGAGGCAGGCCCAGTCAATTTCCGCGTATTTCCCGGCGTCACGGCAACACAGCGCCTCTAGGATGTTGTTTTCGTTCGAGGTTCCGGGGAGCGACTGGCGGAGGGGAAGGAGGTTGGGGAGCACAGCCTGCACGGAGACCGCGGCACAGGCTGCGAATTATCGCCACCACCGCGTCGCACCGCGCAGCCGACAAGGTTAACGTCCTCCGGCCGTAGGACCAGGGCCACCAGGGCCACCAGGGCCACCAGGGCCACCACCTCCACCGTCCCACTAGCAGGCCCAGCAGGCCCAGCAGGGCCAGGGCCTCCCCGAGAAAAGGGCGGCGAGATTGCGAGATGCCAGCGGGTGGTCGGCCGCCGCCGGCAACAGTGTCGTGGCCCATCAGGCTTGCCAATCGTCCGGCTCGGCCCGGGCCAGGGCCTGGGCCAGGCAGGACCCGAGCCTGGAGGGACTGGGCGCCACGCGCCGCCACGCGGCCTGCTGCACTTTACGGGATTACTCTGCTCCAAGCAGTGCCCGCCAGCGCCCCTGACGCTCAAACTCGCGCCCTGTCGTTCTGCATGTACACTGCATGTACGCCTGGGCGTTCACAAATCCGAGAGGGGAGGAGAGAGAAGGTCTTATTTTGCCCCACGTCTTTCGCATTATTCCGAAACCGAGAATGAATTTCCACAACAGCGCAGCCGCTTCGCGGGCCCGGAGCTGGAGTACACAAGAGTGTCACCCAATTCCCGGAGTGCCAAAACGTGAAAGGAAAAGTAGAATCCTGAAAACAAGGCGATTCCTTTTTGCAGTGGCTGCTAAAGGGTAGGAATGCACCAAGTCGTCGTGTACTCGTTGTCGCCTCACTGCTCGCTGCGCGCCGAACGGCGTCGAGCCGGGAGTGCCAGAGGGCCCTCCCTTCCTCTCTCTTCCTCTCTCTTCCCCCTCCGCCTCTTTCTCTCTCCCTCCGCTCTCCCTCTCCCTCGCCCCCTCCCTGGACCCCGGATCCTGCACGCCTTAATTTCCTGCGAATGTGTCTCAACGTCTGCATGCAAAGAGGGGCTTCAATGTCCGCGCGCGCTCTGGGCCTCCCCCCTCCCCTCCCTTTCAAGGCCCCAGCCCCCCCCCCCCTCCCCGGGCTGGCCCTCCTGGAACAACAGGGAGCGAGGCGCACCAGGCGCGAGGCGCTAAGCGAGGCCGTTTGCACGTCTGACTGGCCTTAGAGAGAGGATCGGTTTACAATTCGCCACCATCCCTCCATCCCGTCCAGGGAAGCCCCGCTTGGAGCCAGCTCGCGTGGTTCGCGATCCCCTCCCCCACCGGCCGCACTAAAGGCCCGCCCGAGCGGAGCGGAGCGAGCGGAGCGCCTGTGAAGCGGCGGGTAGGCCACACTGCACGGCCCGCGTGCTGTGCGGACCAGCCTATCCCCACCCTCACAGGCGCTACGTCCGAGCGCTTGGCAAACACGTTGTGAGTGTGTGTCGGTGTGTAGGTGTGTGCGCGTGTGTGTGCGATTGGGCGATTGTGTTGCCACTGTGCCGCCTGATAGCCTGCCGTTGATAGCACCGCGCCGCCACTGTGAGGGGCGGGCATTGCTGGAAACAGCGGCTACATCGAGAAGGCCCCCCTGGACTACGTCGTGCGGCCCTCTAGTGCCTGCCTGGCTGCCTGCATGCCTGGCTGCCGCCGAGGGACTGGGTACTTGATTGCGGACAGGTGAGGGAGGGTGTGGGCGAATTACAGTCCGCTCCATGACTCACAGCGTTGGCCAGTGCCACCACCGTCCGGGTTCGACTCCCGGCGACGGCAGGCTAAAAGACAAAGCGTCCTTCTGGGGCAGGCGGCGGGCATGATACCCCTTGACCTCCAAAGACGGCGTGTCCCATCCGCGGACAAAACGCTCCGAAATGGTTCGCCAGCCCTTGAGAGACTGTGCAGCGGCAGGCGGCCAGAGCGGACAGAGAGAAAGGTTGCCTCAATGTCGTTCATTAAACTTGGCGACAATGACCCGAGAAGCCGCAGTGCCCGACGGCCTCCAGACGGCGCGGCCTCGGCCCGGCCTCGACCCGGCCGCCTCCGTGTAGGCCTCGAGACGGCGAGGTTGTGTTGCGCAGCTTGCGCAGCTGGGGAATTTTCGGAGAAACAAAAGACAGTGGGGCCGCGGCGCCTCGAGGACGCCAGAGGACCCACCGCGGGCAGGGGGTGGGGATTAAACGTGGCAATCCCGCAGGGGCCAGACAGACAGCAAGACGGACGGACAGACAGACTCACTCCTCAGAATGATTCAGTTTTCTTTTCCTATTTTCCTATTTATTCCTCCCCAATGCCTCCCTCCAGAAGCACGTCCCCGCCCCCTTGCCTGTCTCTTTTCTCTTTGCCTCGTCGTTCTCCACGACACCATCAGTCACGGCACGCACCGCGCGCACCGCACCCCTCAGCCGTCCACACCCTACCGGTGGCGGAGGCGGATTTTTTCTCGGCTTCTTTCCCGAAAAAGCAGCGAAGCCGAGTGAGGCGGTGCGGCCAGGCTGGAGGGGATGAGGCTAGGCTGGGACTGCTGCACTGTTATCCAAAAAGCAGGCCCAGGCGTCTGTCGCGAGTCTCAGACGAGATGAATAAAAGGGCATAGTTGCGGTCCTTACTGCTGAAAACCACTTTCAATGCAGAAGTTGGCAATGCGCCATAGTACTCCGTCGACTGACCGGGTATTTGCGAACAGCCAGGCAGCCTCCGCCCTCCGCCCTCCCCCACCCGCTGCAGCACTGCCTGCATAACACATCTCTGCGATATGGGATTCTAGTGCGGTCCGTCCGGTCTGTCTGCATCCCTCTCGACCCCGCACAGCCCCGCAAGGCCCCGCCGCCGCGACCCTGTGCCAGTCCTTGGCCGGGCTTGTGCTGCGCAGGCTGGGCTGCCCCCGACCTTCCCCCTCCCCGCGTCCCTACTTGTTGCCGAGCTTGCGTAGCTTGCGGAGGCTCTCAGCTCCACATCCACTGGTGCAAATTTCACCTCCAAGGACGCGAATGTCCATCCTGCCCGGACTCGATCGGCTTGGCCACGGCGGGGCGGGGTGGGGTGAGGCGGGGTGGGGCGGAGGAGGGCGCGGCTGGGCGCTGCTGGCAGAGGAAGCTTCGATAAAGACGTCAAGGGATTACGAGAGCGATTCGGAAGACAATTTGAGCGCGCGTAAAGTGGGAGACGGCCTCGCTGACCTTGGCGGCAGCGCGGCAGGGTCAACTTCCCTTTCCTCGACAGAGCCTCCGTGAGTTGATATTGATTCATTATTGCGATTACTACGATACCCTCCTCAAGAGCAGCTTGGCGCTGCAACCATCGCGAACTACCATACAATCGGAGGGGTGTCTCCCACGTTAGTCTGCCTGGACAGAGTGTGGTGTGGTCCCGAACAGTGTACGCTCTGTCTCTCTCGCACTCAAGGGGCGCACGATGGTTTTGAGAGAGGCAGAGCGATGAGCCTCCTTGTCACGCCCTCCCTGGTGTTTCCTGGCAGGGCTAGGAATGGTGTAGAGACCGTTCTTTGAGCATTCGACGCGTTTCTACACCATTCTCGGCATTTGCAGGCCATTTTTGAATGGTGTAGAAACCGTGACAGTCGGAAAGGGCTACAAACGGCAGTAAATGGTCCGTACGCCGATTCCAGAGCAATTGCCAAATGGCGGAGGAACGCTTTAGTCAGATCGTTGAAAGAACGCTGGAACAATGTTGTGCATGCCAATGTTCAAATGCTGATGGAATTGTGAGACATTGGTCTGCAGGTCATTTCACGAACGGTGTGCGATCGGCGAGGAATGGGCTAGGAACGGTGAAGGAATGGTGACGGAACGGCGTGGATGCGAAGGCCTCGTGACCGTTTCCAGAGCGTTTCCACAGCATTTTGGAAATGGCCACAGCGCTAGCTCCCGCAGTGCTTGAAGAGAGCCATATGGACCTCCAGTCGCAAGGAAGCTTGGTGGGTTCGGGGTAGCGTGCGCGCTCTCGGTCCACCAGGGCGTGGGTTCAACTCCCACCGGGGGCGGCTCATGATCGCTCTGAGAATTGCGAGGGAACGGTGTAGGAACGGTGTAGGAACGGTGTAGGAACGGCGTAGGAACGGTGTGGCAACGGTGTGGACGCTGCATGCAGTTCTTTTTGGGTTGGCTTACAAATGGTCATGATCGGTGTGGGAACGGTGTAGCAATGGTGTGGACGCCGAGCGAAGCGCATTTTGGTTCGGCTTACGAATGGTCACGATCGGTGTAGGAACGCTGTCGAAATGCTAACAAATGGTCTGCACACCGTTCATAGAATGCTGAAATGTTCACACTTGTGGTGTAGAAACGGTGCGTACGCCAATCAAGACCATTTCTGAATGGCAAGTAAATGGTGAGGTCAGCGTTTGGAAATGCTGTAGGAATTGCTGCAGGAACGCCAGGGCTCGCGGTGCGTCGGCGCCCACTTGTTGCTTGTCCTGGCGGCCTGGACGAGCCGAGGGTCTGGCGGCTTGGCGGGGCCCGGGCCACCACTGGTGGGGGGCCGGCGCGGCGCCTCCACCGGCAGCCACCGCCACGCGATGGGGCTGGTGGGCTGGCCGGGCTGGCTGGGCAGGGGAGCGTCGCGGGCCCCGCCAGTCGCCTTCCGGACTCGCTCGGCCCTCGCCGCACAAGCGCCCCGCGCAGCCCCGCGCAGCCCTGCGCCCCTTGGCCTCGCGAAGTGGCGTTCGTCGCGCGCGGTGCCCGGCACACCAGTGTGTCGGCGGCCATGGCCAGGTCGGCCTGGACCGCGGACTAGTGCGAGTGAGCTTGCCAGTGTGTCTGTGTGTGTGAGTGAGGATAATCTCTGCAACAAAGGAAGAACCACCGCCACTGCGCATCGGAGTACGGCCCCTCGCGTGGAGTCGCAGGTACAATTGATTTCACCGGGTTGTAATTTTGAGTTCAGTACACTGCTCCGTAGTTGCTCTTTAAATTATCTGCACCTTATTCGGGTCAGGCAAGGTGCGGGCTGACAGGTGCGGTTGCGACCTCATCTCAAGGTCATGGAGAAACTGCAACTCGCACTGCAGCCACAAACTCACGCCTACACATGGAGTCGAATTTCGAAATTTAATGGGTGGCATGAAACACAAGTTCATTGAAATGTCGCGGGAGGAAAAGCCCTGCCGTGGTTTGCAAGCTTCATGAACAAGAAGAGGCTTCTCCTGAAGTTCAAGGTCAAACCGCGCACTCGAGAATCATCCAAAGTGTTCGGATGGTCGCACTAAAGCAAAGCACCCCCGAGAAATAGAATCTCCCCCGATTTCATTGGGGGTCAGTTTCTTCGCCCCTATGTACCACCTCACTGCGGCGGGCGAGGGGTGGACGGCTGGTGGCCGCGCGCCACGCAGGTGTCGGGACAACCCGCCGAACCCGCCGGACCCAGGCCCAAGGTCACGGTGGTATTGACAGAGGAGCTGACGTCGCGGCCCAACTGCAGTCGGCCGGCTGTTTCCAGAGCGGGGCTAAAAATACGCCGGACACGCCCTGCTCGCGAGGCGAGACCGTGGTCACTGAGGACGTCATTGCATTTTTTTAAAAAATACAGACACACACCTACGAAAAAAGGCTCTGCTCCGACAGCACGAGTAAGGTTTTTGAAAGACCGATCTGTCAGGCACGGTTTTCCTGCGAGATCACATAACCGGTTGGTAACTTCTCTGAAAGTGGACACTCAGAACTAATCAGGACAAGCAGGTACACGACAAACTCGGAAGGAACACCCATCAGACACTCATCCTGCAAGATCTCCTATCGGGGTATCGGACCTATCTGCATTGACTTTTAGACCGAATGTGACTTTTGACCCGTCCACCCTCAGACTTATCTTGAGGAAAGGCTATCAGATCTCTAGCCTGCGTCAGATACTGCTATCACACTTAAGATATGTCGCTGACGTCGGTTGTCGACGTCAGGTTGATATTGTCGCACATTACTGTGCCAGACGCCAGTCTATCGTCAGAAATTTCAGCAGAATTTTTGGGCGCATTTTGCAAGCTTTCCTGAGAAAATGTAGCCGGGCTTCGCCGTCACGCCTGGACATAATGTTTCGTGTCAGAACGAACCTGTTTTGTGAACTCAAACGCGGCATTCCCCCCCCCCCCGGTTGTTATCACCCCACCGTAAAACCGGAAAGGCTCTTACATTTGCAGCGACTTTGAATTGAATTTAAATTTTCCTTTCCGACGGTGCACTTCGACGCCGAAAAACGCCGAAACGCCCACGCCCCCCTTTTGCATTGCAAATGGCGTCGCGACGACGCGACGGCGCCCCCCCCCCCCCCCCCCCCCCCGCCACGCCACGCCTATGCCCTCGGCCCGAACGGCTACACAAATTAAGGGCGGCAAACTCGTCAAGGAGGGACGCGTCGCACTGTCACACAACCCAGAGCCGCGCGTGCCCTGATGGGAACCGAACTTGTTCTTCGCACATCCCAGAGGGCTGTTTTTGCACCCAAAGTTTTTGAAACCTAATCGAGGCATGTTTTTCTTTTTTGTGGATACTCTGATGGCAGTCGAGTAGGAATCCCAGTCCGAGCGACCGAAATGAGCTCTCGCAGGGGCCCAACTCGTCTGCACTGCAGTGCGCAGTCGGCGGCTAGGCGCCAGCCTCTGATGCGGGGGCTCAAAGTGCCAATGATTCGAGTGTCGGCCACCGAAGCCAGCGAGCAGTCAGTGGCGGGGAAAATGAGTGAGAGCGAGAGAGGCTTTGAGAATGACGTCGCCGCAGGCCATTTCATCAGGCAGCCACCTTCTGCAGGCCGATGTCGAAGAGTGCGTTGCGTCGCCCAGTCTCTCTTGCACTCGTGGGCCGCGGGGTTGCGAGAGAGACTGCGTGACTGCCGACCCGCCTCTACCCGCCTCGGGCAGCGTGCCCTTGAGTCTGCCCGAGTGTCTTTCCGTCCGTCCGTCCGCCGCCCCTCCACTGGGTTTTTCTCCTGGTCCTTCTGATTGTCCGTCACCCCTCAGAACGAGACGTAAATCAATGTGGCTTTGGCTCCCTTATTACATCTGCAGCTGGAGGCCGTCGCCGTGCCGACTCGAATTTATCGGTGTCGTTCAGACGGGCCGCCGCGGCCGCCACACCGCGGAGCCGCGAGGGCGAGGCGGGCGGAGCGCCGACGGGACCTACACTGGAATAACGTGTACCCAACCGGCATGACTTGACCTCGCCTAACCTAACCTCGCGGCCCACAACCCTCTTCGCTTAGTCTTGACCGCTTGGTGCTGTTGCCTAATCAAAGTTGCTTCCCCACCCGAAGTTTGGGCGCCCCTCCGGAAGTCCAGACGGCCTACTGCAGCCCAAGTAGTGGCAGCGCGAGGCCCTCGAGGAGGCCGCAAGGCGTAACAGCGAGCCTTCCGGGAATGCTATCAAGATCAGCTCTCGGCCGCCCGCCGCGCCGCGAGCCGAGAACAGTGTGGAACAGTGTCTCGCAAACCCACCAGTTGCCGAATTGCCCACCGCATTCCTGGAACTGTAAACAGAACCCCCCACCCCTCCACTCTTTTTACAAGACGCGGAAAAGCGGAAAGGGCGGCGGGGTCCCTGGAGCGCCGTGACCTGGCACAGAAGTGCCACCCAAGCGACCCAAGCCGTGATGGGGAGGTAACTCTGTGTATGTGTGTGTGTGTGTGTGTGCGTGCGCGCGCGTGCCCGAGGGAGCCTGTGATTTCCAGGCACGCCCTCCGGCTCCCCGCGGCTTTGTGAGGGATTGATAACTGAATATTTTTCTGTCAAGGCGCGTGGCGTGGAATAAGGGGGGGGGGCAGAGGAAAGGTACGTCGTCCGTACAGTGTATTCGCCCTCCGCGAGTGACAGGGCAAGGTTCAGGTGGCACCCCGCGTGGCTGCGGTCTGTTGTTTCGCCTTGTTGTTCTTTCGAAAGCAGCTAGAGCGCAGAGGCGAGCTAGGTAGGGCTAGGGGTGGAGCGCCTGGGGGGTAGGCTGTGCCGGCGGGTGGGGTGTCCCGCGGGTCGGCCTATGCTCGCCACCGCAGGCGCTCGCTCCACGCGTGCCCCACGCCACGCCCACGCCAGTGCCAGCGGCGCCAGCGGCCGGTTGCCTCGTGTGCTTTCGCGTCAACGCGGAAGCCTTTTTTTCATACCGTGTCAACTTTGCGTTTCTCCAACAGCAATATTTTTCTATTATTTTTTCCCAAGCTCATACAGTGCTTGTTTTTGTCTTTCCCCGGTCCTTTGTCGGGGAATCGTATTACAGGCATGCGGGCTTTTGGGCGGTGGCGCGGCGCCGCCTCGCATCCCTTCCCAGAGCCTTGGACGGCCGCCAGCGGAAACTATTTGAGACTCTTTTTCTGGAAGCGCAGAAGGAGGCGGGTCGCAGGCAGTTCAGCAGTGCAGTTCTGCTGTTTGGCACACTGTACTACGCCCCGTTTGGTCTGCGCTGGTGAGGCTTGCGAGCGCACGGCGGAAGGCCGGAGGGTCTTCGTCAAGCCGCTCTTGCGCCGCAATGCTTTGCTCGGCACACAGACGTCCGCAGCCGCTCGTGACGAGTGTGCTGGCACGGGCGGGTGGAGGCTCCGGCCGCCGGAAACTGGGAATCCAAAAGTGCCCTTTTTGGGGAACGCTGAAGAGGCCGCTTCGAGAGGTCCTTTACTCGCTCCCCGGGAAGCAGGGTGGCCCTACGGGGTGGCGGGTCCGGCTCGCTAGCGGAGCGGCGGAGCGGCGAAGCGGCCAGAGGAATGAAAAAAAACCAAACCGGGAAACAAACATTTTGCCCGTCCTTTTCTTGCCCTGCTTGTCCTGATCAAAGCGGGCTACTTTGCCGGCAGGACGCTCGTCTTGTAGCGCTTCTAGGAAATAGGGCCAAGCGTAGAAAAACGACAAGGCAACACAAAAAGAGAGAGAAGGCAAGTGGGCGGGCAGCGCAGAGCGGGGTGTCAATTTGGAATTGAGACTCACTGCCCTGCGAAAATTTTGGCAGTCACTTCGATGACGTGCTGCGGCGGCTGGTTTCCATTTATTTAGCTAACACCTCACGGACCGCGTCACGGGTCCTACAATGTATAGTGTCCCGGGCGAAGGGGAAGAGGCGACGTCCCTCACTATCCCCGGGGGGGGGGGGGGGGGGGGGCCGGGCGGGCCGGGCGGGCGGCCTTCTTTGCATTGCAAACTCTCTGGGTCCTGTGCGCGCGCCGGGCGTCGCACGAGGCCGAGGCCGCCGCCGTGCCCACGGCCGTGCCGCCCCGGACGGCACACGGCACGGCACCGCGTCGTCGCGGAGCTTGGAGGGCGGCGTGGCGGGGGAGGGTTCGTCCGCCCCGTCCGCGGAGACCGCAGTGTCGTGCCGAGCCTGCAGAAGCCTATCTTGGTGAATAATGATGCCGTGGCAGCAGCGCACCGCACTGCACAACGTGTTGCTGACCGTGGGAGTCGTTATCGGCCGAGTACTCCGCCAGAGGGTGCACTGAAAAAAATCTTTTCACAGCTCGGGGCCTCGTACAGTGAAGACCCGGTCGCTTTGCCTCAAGCGAACGAAGCTGTTCTACGGAAGCACCGAACAGTTCGTCCGAATTCGCAAATGCCGAATGTTCGCAGGGAATCCTGGGAAGTCGCCGACTTCCATTGACGAAGTTCCCAGAACCGCCGTGGTGCGGGCTTTTTCAGTTTTCGCTTTGACGGAGAGGGGTGCACCGAAGTGCATACAGAGGCGCAAGGTCGAAGCCAGGCCCTGGAAACTTCCAGTCCACTTGTCCTCACGGCCTGCAGCGTGCAGGGCCATGGCAGGGCTTCCACTGCCAGGCCAACGCACACGCCTGGCCCTTCAGTCCGTCGGCCCTTGGACTAGCCGCCGGCATGGCGAAGGCACAACAACGCATTTCTCGCGCGCGTCCCTGCGACGTACGCTGTTGTC